GCGAAGTAAAGTAGGTGCTCGTCTCGTCCCCTCCCCCCCCACCCCCACACACACACTAATAAAACCAATAGAAAGCATGAGTGCAAATCTCTTGCTGGCAGAAGTAATAGGAAAGTTGTGCAGTCATTTGGGACAAAAACAGCACCACATCTTTCTCTGTTTAAATTGATCTTCTGTGCAGCCCAGAACTGGCACTCTCTCCAGAGAGTGCTAATCCTTTCTTTTAAAATCATGTCTACTGCACTTTCAAAAGACTGGTGAATACACGTTTAACAAAGGGAGAATGTTACAGCCACATAGAGATGGCGCCTGCATCCTGCCTGAATGGTGCTTTACAAAGTCCTGGTCAGGCATAAGGTAGGCAGTTGTCTCTCTGAAAGACTTATTCATCAGCCCAAGCCAAAATGGAGGGGAGGGATCCATGACAGGCCTTGAGTGCCAGCCCTCTTTTGACAACATCATTACCAACATTGTCAGTGAAATGTCATAGATTGTTCATATGCCAAAGCTTTTTTGCGGAGAAGGGGGAAAACACTAGTTTAACACTAGAACAGTTGAAGGTGAATTTAGGTTACGTCTGCAGCAGGCTGAGGATGAGAAAGATGACATCATGGGACATGTCATTTAAAAACAGGCAGCTTGGGAAGCAGAAGGTGAGAATGAGCTGATAGACTAGTTAAAAGTCCAAGGTGATATATACAATTCATAGACTACAAGTTCAAAGGCTGCATTTTTAGGATTTTGCTTTGGGCACCATCACTTTCTCTTATTAAGATTGCATCTATTACATATATAGTAATCCCGTCATACCTAGTTAGCCTGATAATGGTTGGTAATCCAACCCATCCAGAGGGCATCAACTGGGGAAAAGCACCAACCATAAAAACCCTGGCAATCAATTTTACAGAACTGAATGAGACTTCATTTTAAATGGGGTTGCTTTACTGGATGGCAATGACAACGTGACAAGGGGGCAATATAAGTCTTTGTCATCAGAGTAAATAGGTAGCATCATACAGTTTCTCTTCTTAACCCCCCCCCCCCCCCCCCGGCCTTTTTTAACACTGCTTTTTGTAAGGTTTTTGGTTTTTTTCACCAAGTTAGTGCTGTGTATAAATATATTGTCAATAATGATCAGACAGGTAGACATGATAGTCTATGACCCCAACACAAAGTTTCAAAAAGCAGGTCCATACAATATATTTAACTTGATTACTGAATTAATAATTTTTTGCACAATGCACTGCACAATCATAGATTAGCCAAATAGGCTGAGACCATTTTGTGGTCCACAATATAGTGTCCAAAGCTGGGTTAGTGTGGCAAGCTAAGCCACAAAAACCTAATCAAGGTTAACAATAACTAGGCTTAGAGTATAATGCCAATTCAATGCTAGGTCTAACTCTTCTAGTTAAACAAGTTGGGTGACCGCAGTCAAAGGGTTATATCCACACTTAGCTCTTGATCTGTTATTGGAACTGGCTGGCAACTATTTGCATGGATGAGGTAATCTCCACAGATCCTTGTCCCACTGTCAAAGCAGCCTCAGTAGAGGGTGATGTCATCTATTTCTGTCTTCCAGAAATGGTTGCCAGCCAGTCCAACAATGGAGCAAGAGGTATGGATGTCACCTTAGCCATTGACTAGCAAATTTAATACAGAATAAGGCAATATTTTGTGTACCTGATGCAACAACTCTACTCTAAAAACACATGCGCTGTTTAGTTAATTTATTCTTTCTGGGGTCATATTACACACATTAAAAAGGAAATAGAATAAAAGAGAAGCTGGCAATATAAACATTACATAAAACTGCCAACTCAGTGTAAGCATTAAGAAAGAGTAGCATAAAGCTAATTCCATTGTGGATTAAAATAAATTGAAATATCTGGGAAGATCAAAAGAAGTGTGCTTGATACCAAGGAAATGCGCCAGAATATAAGTAAGAGGTGCCCAAGACATTTTTCTGCCTGAGGCAGAGATCCAATCACCAAAACTAAAAGTTGGCCAAGTTATTTTGGCACCCTCTTGGCAGTAAAAATAGAATAGTTATTAAACATGCATATAGACTCTTAACCATTCATGGTTATCTTAACATTCATACCCTGCAGCTTGAGGCAACTACCTAGGTATAACCAAATGACTCATATGCCCTTAAATAACTATTAAATTGGTCTTTGGAAAGCAAATATGAGGCATGTAACAAACCTCATCCTGCAGGCAGTCCAATGTCCCAATTTTACTTCACTGAACTTTAAAAAGCTTGTTGGAGAGCTTAAAGAGATGCCAAAAAGAAATCAGTCATAATGATCAAGGAGGAAAAACAATTCTCATAACTTTGGGCAATGTTTCCCCTAGAAAAAAGGGAGTAAGAGGCCATGATAGGGGTGTGTAAGATTATTGGTAGAGAAAGAGAGAGACGGCAGTTCTTTCTGTTATCACACACAGGAAGAGCTAGATCCCTCCTTTGGGACCACTGCAAGTATGAACTCTTCTTTTGGTGTTTGCCAAGCTCCACCCAATCAATCAATCAATCAATCAATCAATCAATCAATGTGTGTGTGTGTGCGCGCACACACATATATATAAATTTTATTTTAATGTTTATAAAGAAACCAGAAACAAGCATAGGACTACAAGAACTGGGCTATAAAAATACAGAACAGCACTAAATAGCAGCAAAGAGATACAGAAATTTTATAGTCCCATGTATTTTGGCAGCCCAAATCTGGTAACCCTAAACTAGAATCGTTTTTTTTTTAATCTCCTTCTCCCTTTTCTTTTTCCTCCCCTTCCTCCAGCCAACTGTCAGTTACTTCTCTTCTTTCTAAAAGTAAAGTTAAAGACACACTCGAGCTCCATTTCTAGTGATTATATGGTAAAGTACATGTAATGATCATGGCAACAATTAAAAAAAAAAAAGGTTTGCCAATGTCTTCTTCCAGCACTTCCTAGTTTAAGGTAAAGCCCTGGGATTTTCTGGTGATTTCACTTCCAAGTTCTAACCATGTCTGACCCTGCTTGGCTGTCCCCCTTCACTTCACTAGGAGACCAGCTCCCTCTGTGCTGCCATCCGTGCCACCCCCTAAATCCTCTCAGCTTACAGCTGCCTTCCTCCAAAAGAAAAGGTAAGTTAACCATTCACTTGCATTCTAACAGAATTATACAAGAATCTTTCATCACATCTGTATCTTTCTTCAGCTGAGACTTGTGGCTTCTATAGTGGTCAGAAGAGAAATTGCTGGGAAGCTGTATGCAACCATGTGTACACAGGTGCTTCAAAGTACGTGAACCCTTGTGGATTTTCAATATTTCTGCATAAATATGACCTAAAATGTGATCTGTTCTAAAACAAGTGCTAAAATTAGATAAAGAGAACCCAATTGAACAAATTAGTCAAAAACATTTATTTGCTTATTTATTCATCAAGGAAAATGATCCAAAGCTATGTATTTGTGTGTAACAAAAGTATGTGAACCTTTGCTTTCAGTAAATTGTCCTCCCCCGCCCCTTGGGCAGCAATAACTGCAACTAAATGTTTCTGATAACTGTTGATCAACCCTGCACATCAGCTTGGAGGAATTTTAGCCCATTCCTCCTTATAGAAAGTCTTTGACTCAGGGATGTTGGTAGGCTTCCTCACATGAACTGCCTGCTTCAAGCCTTCCGCAACATTTCTATAGGATTAAGGTTAGAACTTTGACTTGGCCATTCCAAAATGTTAACTTTCTTCTGCTTTAACCATTTTTTGGACTTGTGTGTTTTGGGTCATTGTTTTTCTGCATGATCCACTTTCTCTTGAGCTTCAGTTCACAGACAGATACCCTGACATTTTCCTGTAGAACATGCTGGTCCAGTTCAGAATTCATCATTCCATCAAGGATGGCAAGCCATCCTGGTCCAGAAGCAGCAAAGCAGGCCCAAACCATGATTCTGTCACCACCATGTTTCACAGGTTGCATATCATTAAGTTTTGTGATGAGCTATCAGTTGAAGAAGTCTTTTCTACATTTTGTCAGATTCCTCTAATTTGCTAATCGTTTCTTCTATTCTGATCCCGTACTCACCCAGTTCAGGTCCAAAGTCTGTAACATATTTTATCAATATCATGCTCATTTTTCATAGCAGTATCATATACTTTGCTAATAGTCAGAGCAACCTCTGAAACCTGAGAAGACAATTCTGTTAGTTGTTCATTAACTTGTTCAAATTCACCTGCCAACTCCTTTTGGACTATATTACCTGACGTATCCCATTTTGCCTTTAGTTCTGGTTTGAGTTGCTTAACATGATTTTCTACTTAGTCAGTTGTCCTGAACGGTGCTTGATTTTCACTTTCTCCATTGGAACACCCTCCTCCTTTGCCATTTCTTCTTCATCACTAGAGTGGGGTGCCCTGCAGCTGATTTTGGATCATCCATGTAAGCCTTAATTCTTCTACCTTTTTTAGAATTACTTTTCTTAGACATCTTAATACTATTCTTGTCTATTAGGCAGATATTAGTAAAACATGAATGGTGAAAATGATTAGAAAAGCTGGGCTGGGAAGAAAGCAATCAGTTCAATGTACCATCATTCCCAGTCACTAGCCATGCCTTCCTCTGTGGGAGAAGTTACTCATGAAGTTCTTATTAGGACCTAGCTGAAGGAAACCATGGAGGTGGCAGAATGCTTGAGAAATGAGTCCTCAATAAAAGTGGCTCCACACGCTTGACTGCTACATGCATACATAAATAAATACATAACGCAAAAATACATGGCTTAGGTCCAGGTTATTTATCGGACTGTCTCTTCCTGGTTGTTTTTACCCATCCTGTCCAATCCAGTAGGAGAGGCATACTGCAGGTTCCATCAGCCAAGGAGTATCAACTGGCGGGGTCCTGAAAAAGAGCCTTTTCTACCATGGTGCCCACCTCTGGAACATCATTCCTCCTCAGATTATGCTGCCCTGCCCCTGCCTCCTGTTAGCCTTTTATAAGTCTTTGAAGAGCTGGTTCTGTGTCGGAGCCTGGGACCCTGGGTGTGGAATGGAGCCCATTTCATGGCTATGTTGATGGCTTTTTATGATTCTCCAGCTGCTGTTTTATTTCTTGTTTTATTTTAATATTTGTATGTACTTTACTTGTTTTTAATGTTGTGAGCTGTCTAGAATCATGTACATGAGATGGGCAGCTGTATAAATTGAATGAATGAATGAATGAATGAATGAATGAATGAATACATAAATAAATAAATTTCAGCCCAATCCATATGTTCTAACAGCTTTCCCTTCCCTGTAGTGCTTTCTAAGGGACAGTAAGATCAATAGGACACTTTTATCACTATCACTGTAGCATCAAAAGTGAGAAGGAATTATATCATATTTTTAATAAATGTTATTCTTCACAAAATATGGGTATGTAAGAATACTTTAGAAAACATCAAAACCAGCCTTTTAATAAAAACAAAGAAAATCTTCTTGGATTGGCTCATGTATCAGATTAAGCCATAATGTGGTTTGTTTGGCATTATAGACAAACCCAGCCACTATTTTTTGTAAATCATGTCTTATGATTTAGTGCACTGTATGAACTCAACCAACCATGGTTCGCTCAACAAACTATGACTAAAACAAATCATTTAGTGCAATGTGCAAATTCAAATATAGTCTGGTACAACCGTCCCTGATCTAGTGCAGTACAGTTGTACAGAGACTGCAGTTCACAGTTCATTGCCAGCAATGTACCAACCTGAGGAAGTTAGGACTATTGACTTCCTGGGTGTTGCATTGATTCAATTATGCAAATATGATTAATTGACAGCATGAAGAGCTGTATGTCTCTATTCCATCATTCCATTTTTCAGGGACACATGACTCAGGTTCACTTTTCATTCTGTTACAATGGTAAAAATATGTTATGATGTTCAGATTTGCACTAAAAGATAATGTTTTATTTGGTTCAGGTTTAGAGCTATGTGAGACCCAGGCCTTACATGTTGTACAGTATGATTTATGGCTTACTATGACGAGTAAACACTGCCATATGTAGTTTGTTTAATAAACGATGCTTTAAAAAACCATAGCTTAGCATAATATGGGAATTCAATCATGGAACTGCCTTTTAACACAAGATTGTTTAAAGGGTCAAGAGAAGAGATCCTTTAAACAGCGGAAAGCTAGTGTGGAACGTAGTATATCATCTTTAATTTGGACTTGAGTGATATAGTTCAAATAAAAGCTTACTCTGATAGCACCTAGTTTTGGGTTAGTCTCTGAGCATATTCACATTGGACACTAACCCATAATTTACTTACTGAATTAACCTAATAGCCTGAATATGCATAAGTCACTGATCCATCAACAACACTAGTTGGATTCACCCAACACACTGAGCCACAAGTGAGCTACTCACATTTTAATCTAGCATATTTTACAAACCTAGGCATTATTTCAGTTTAAAATATTTTTGATCTGAAATGCAGCAATTATGGTTTCATATTTTGATAGGAAATAAATAACTAAGTGCTTGTTTAAATGTTAATAGAGGTGCTTTTATATTGTGGAATCTGGAGTCAATCTCTCCTGTTTAAGATGTACAGAAACATTCCAAGAACAGGCTAGGTGTCCGTGTAGGCCTTTTAAAGATTTTGATAGAATGTTATCTGAACCTATTTTATTTTCCCCCATTGTTTTTTTTTCATTGAAGTTAATAGCACAGTAAATAGGAACACAGGGAGAAACCCTAAATACAGAAATAATTGCCTGAATTATTTTTAACTGACTATTGTTTTAGTTTTTGAACTGAATATATCAATCCATCTGACCATATTAAATAATGAACCATGATTTGGATGGCACCCCCTTCCTGTGTATGCACTAAAATATTAAATAAATATTTATTCAACTGAGTGCAAATTGACCCAATTTCTTAAATAACAAAACATAATCAATTCTAAAATAGCTGATCTCAAGAAGACTCCTGTTTCTAGCAATCAGGATTTGCAATCAACTTTAGCTTCAGTTCCTTTTGAGATCAATCTTAAAGAGAAAATGAAGCATTTAACCCCTACGGGGTGACTGTATTTCCATAGTAAGCCCTTCAGTTAAATTCTATACACATCTAGCCAGAAGTTTACAATTTCTCTGTGGTACCTCTTAAATTTTAAGTAACCCAGGATTTTGCGCAAGCAGTTCAAAGTGGCCAATTTTAACAAGGAGTCCCTGATTCTTTGAAAATAAGGAATAGTTTAACAACTAGTTAAATTAGAAATAGTTCAACAGCTAGATAACTACAAGAGTTAGAAAGATATCTGCATGCCTACTTCTGTTAAAGTGTTCAAGCTTCTCCATGGGTATTGGGGGGAGGGCAAAAAGCCAAGATAATGGCTAAAACCATACAACCAAGAACATGCCGTTTTTTATGTGTGTCACACATTTTAAAAAAAAAAGGCAGGGCTTCAATTGCATTATTGTGGCCACCATCTTGACTTTTTTGCCCCTAGACACTCCTGCGCTTCACAGAGAAGTCAGTCTCTGGTGAACATCCTTGTTTTAGAGCAAAGGGATATGCTAAGATATTTCATGCCTATGCAACCCAGTTGTTGAAAACCTATCCAGAACAATAGCATGACAAATTGAAACCTGGAGGCTATACAAAAATAAGTCAAGAAGGCTTGAAAAATAGAGTTCCTCTTTTTAAAAATGTACCTGACAATGATGGGTGTCTGGGGAGAGAATGTCACAGAATGGGTGCTTTTATGAGAATACTGTACCATAATATTGTGCAAAACTATACTTGCCTCTATATTAACATGTCTAAAGAGAAGTGTCACAAATGCAGAAGAATAAGACCTTTGTATGTGCTTTACCTTGGCATTAATCAACTTTTGTTTTTATGTCAATATAGGTCCGCCCTTAGATAGGCTGTAGTGGTTATAGCTTAGTAACATTCTGTTTGCGGATAAAGTCATAAAACAAATGTATGATCACTCTTATTCTTATTACAAAGCAGAAATCTGATATTCTGTTGTTTCCTCCTTTACTAGCCATTCTTCTCGGAGACACACACATAACACATAAGCAGAGCATCAAACAAAACTAACAGCTTAACAAATGGGGCTTATAAATTCCACCCACTTGAAAGTCAAGCAAGCCCAGATTATAATGCTCGGGCTTGATTCAGCTGGGAAATCCACTCTTCTCTACAAGCTAAAATGTAATGAAGTCTTCCTAACCCTGCCAACAATTGGTTTTAATGTGGAGATGATTAAAACATCAAAAGATATGACTTTAACAATATGGGATGTTGGAGGTCAGCGCAAAATGAGGAATGCTTGGAACAACTATTTAGAAGACACAGATTGCTTGGTCTACGTTGTGGATAGTGCTAACAAGCAGCGCTTGGAAGAATCAAAGAAAGAGCTGGAGCTTATTTTAAGATGCGACAGTGTAAAGAATCTGCCTGTGGTCATATTGGCAAACAAACAGGATCTTCTTGGAGCTCTGGATGCTGAAGAAATAACTAGGAGACTCAACATGAAGAAGCATTGCCAAAACCGAAACTGGTATGTACAACCCTGTTGTGCAGTTACAGGAGAAGGACTCTCACAAGCATTCCAAAAAGTGACAAAATTTGCAAAATCTTGCATAAAATCTAAACAAGAAGGCTTTGTGATTTTCAAACAACTTTAAACTATCGCATTATAATCTGAATAATTAACTCATTGCTGGGATAGAAAATTAATCTGTTGGTGAAGCATCTGATTTTGCAATATGTTTCCTAATTTTTTATAAAAGTGAAATATTTATGACAGATTTTGTGCCAGTCACTCATTTCTATTGGTCTTCAAAAATATTCTGTTGCATCTGAAGAAAGGAATATAATTCTTGAAGTTATGAAATTGCAAAAAGAATAAAATTAGCTACAGTGTAAATGGTTACGGGAGTGTGTTTGTGTCTGTATCTGTAAATGGCATCTATTTTGCAACCAACACTATGCAATAATTAATGTAGTAATTTTGAAACCTCTGCAATAAGTAACTGGAAATGGTTAGACAAAATCCTAATCATCATTAGTAAAGTATGTGTATAAGACCAAATGAAATATAGCTTTGCAGTTCTGTCCTAAAGTTTATGCTAGCATATCTGCTATAGCAGCCACACAAAGATAAAATGTTCAATATAATATATAAATTGTACAAATATGTTTTTATTTTAATTAAACCAGATAAAGTGCACAGAAGTATTTCATTTTTATTTAATTATTTGTTTTACAAATGTGTAAAGTAATTATATTACTGTATATCCAAAAACAAAACAGAGAACAGTTCTCATAGAAAATCTTTAATATGTTTCCTTAATTTTCATAACTTGGTAGTATCCAAATTCCCTTTAAGAATTCATCTACTATAAAACATTTAATACTAATTAATACAAGAGACATTTTTGGCTGAACTATTTGGTTTCCATGAACAAGGAATTCTACTTTTTGTAGATTCATAAAAATCACAAATCCTAGCAGTAGTTAAAAGCAACCTTTTAACCGTTTAAAGACTTCACTTGAAGACACATACAGAAACATATATTCCATTTATTTCATCTTTTAGTGATGTGTGCATAAAATGGACAGAATCAGAAACTGGGTTTTGCTTAGCCAGGGAAATGCATTCTAATTTTGAAATACTCTTTATCCAAACTGGAAGAATCCAGTGAATTCAAAGTATTGCTTTGCTGGAATTCATAACGCTTCTCGCAAGCTATAATGGGTATAATGGTTTTTGCATTAGTGATATCAAATTTCCACTTTCAGCTGACTTCTAAATGTCATAGAATACCATAGTAATAAAGTATTTGCACCTATAAAGAAAAATGAACAGGTACGATATAGAGGTACCTGTTATGTCCATATATTTTTAATGTGTTGAAATGTAAAAAGTCTGCCCTAGCTGAATTTTTCTCACTCCAGCCAATGGATTGAAACGATTGCATTGTAGCCAATTACTGTTCTTGCTGTACCTTTCCTAACTATAAAAGCAACACTGTACCTTCTTTGTTTTTCACGCTCTGAGTAATAAGCAGTGTGATCTGATCCAATACCTGTTCATCTCAAAGATCTTAATGTCAATGGGTAGTAGTTTCATTTCATCTTTCACTGTCTTGAACTTTCCCATGTTCATGCCTCTTACATTCCATGTTCCCGCTATAATTCTGTTTGTGCAACTTCAGTTTTCCGAATGGCAACATCAGCAATTAGACATCCCGAAGGCTTTAATCTAGCCACATCATAAGTACCATTAGTACTCCAAACGATCCTCAGCTCTTCCTCAATAGTAGGTTAAGTGCCATCTGACTAAGTGGCCCATCATCCAGCACTATATCATTTTATATCATTATTTTATATTTTCTATCCATGTGGTTTTCTTGGTAAAAATACAGGAGTGGTTTACCATGGTCTTCTCCCACACAGCATGAATTGATGCCTTTGCCATTGTCACTAAAGTGGTCATCTGTCTCCAGCATCTTCCTATATTGCTACAGCCCAGTATAGGTGCCTGCTTGCCTTAGCTGAGCAGCTGGGATGACCTTCGTGACCCTGCTGGGAATCTATATTCTTGGCATATACTCCCGATGTCTTTCGCTCATCACTCCCAGGAACACCCCCCCGCCACAATGAGGCAGCACAGCAGAACTTGGGGGGAGACATCTTTGACAGCAGATGTGATACATACTAAATCAGATGGCATATTACTGAAAGTAACTGTAATGTAGCATGCATTTAAAGTATTTCAGAGTGAGAATTGTTTGGAGCCATGCATATTGCTGACAGGTTACTGTGCCCTGTAAGTGTTCTGCACAAATAACATTTCCTAAGCTTTAACATGTTATATTATAATTATGGTGTAATATTAATCAGATTTGAGAAGGTTTTCAAAATTCTGACTAACAATGCTAGTCATCATGCCAAGATGCCTGACCATAGTTAAAGCCAAGGAAATCAGATCAGAGAATATTATGACGGGAAATGGAAGGGTTGAGTATGATTAAAGGACATGTATGATACCCAAAAGGCAATATTGCTATGGTGATGAAACAGTGCTATGGTAACATTACAAACAGAAATGTCAGTATAAGTATATCCATACTTACTTATGATAGAAACCTTAACCCATTGGGTCAGCTTTGTCATATTTTGAAAGTGATGATGAATCTTTTTTTTTTCCTCCCCCACCCCAGGAGTAGAAAACTGTGGACCTTGAGGGGTTGTAAAACTTTAACACTCAGCACACTCTACCACTGGCCAGCAGTGCCCAGGAGGCAAAAGCAGTCAAAATGATGCAAGCAGTAACATGGCCTTGCAACATTAGCCCCACCCTTTTCTGTGTCCATTGTGATGTCACACACACACTTTTAAGGAGCAAAGCTTATGGTATGATGTTACAACACTGCAGATGCTGTTGCCGCCAGCCATAACAGACAGGGGCACTGGGCATCGCAACACAACATTTGGAGGTCGCAGATTAAAGGAATCATATCAAAGGAGGCTACTGCTTCCATTTCACATCTCCTGAGAAAGGGACCTGCAACCTTTTTTAGTGTACAGAGTTGAAAGTCAGTTCTCTGTGGCTCACAGTCTATGTTAAAAGCTGCAGCTTTTCATTCTTTTCATATTCAGATCCCCAGATCAAAGCATCCTTGGGGGAAAGGCAGGGAGAAGTGCTTTTGCCCCATTTTCAAAATTTAAGAAAGGCCATCTAACAACTTCCATGGAATAAATATCACCTTTCTTTTCCCAAAATACATTAAAAGGGACTCCAGCAACAATCTCCCTGGCTCTGTTACCCTCCTCAGCCCCAACTGCCAGTCTTACAATAATATTATCAGACATCTTGAGCCTTCGACAACGGTGTATTACAAAGCAACACCTCTTCAGAGTGAAGAAAAATACTGAAACATTATCGCTTATGCTCCTTTTCATGTAATAGTGCAAAACAGATGCTGTACATTTACATTATGCTTATATTACTTAAATGTATACTTTTTTCATCACAGAAAATCTCACCTATTTCAGTGGAACTCATATATTTCTTGGGTACACATTTTTCACTTATTCAATTTATGGTCATAAACCACAGAGTCACATATTTGAGATGGGCAGTTATATAAATTGAATGAATGAATGAATGAATGAATGAATGAATGAATGAAATACAAAAAGAAAAACAAAAAGAAACATATCACATATTGTTTAAAAGCTGACTAAAAGAAAAGACAAGAAGCAATTAAATATTTTATCCAGGGACAGAATATTTCTCCTGCTGGATCAGAATTTGGCTTTTGGTCTTAAAAGGCAGCAAAGCAAAATTTGGCCAATGCCAATGATGTAAGATTGTACTGATCAGCCAGCAATAATTGAATATATATGAATAT